ACACACACACACACACACACACACACACACACACACACACACACACACACACACACACACACACACAAATCCTTAGTTATGAGCTGAAACAAGCCGTTAATGTTCAGCTGTCCTGAACAAGATCAATGAACATCTGAACTCAACATCATCAGATCTGAAAATAAAAAAATAACTTTGTGTTTTGAGAACGTCAGGTTGAACTGAGGACAGATCCTGGAGCTGCTGCAGGATCCAGATGTGAGCAGCTGGCAGCGAGCCTGATGAGGAGCAGCCGAGCAGAAAACTCATTAAACCCAGAATAAGCCTCTTAATCAAACCAATAAGAGAAGTAACTGCAAACTGATAACTCTTATCAAAGCTGAAGTAAAGCTGCAGCTTCGCCTTTTAATTACCACGACTTGAAAACGGTTTGTGTCCCTCTGAAGGACGAGCCGAGACAACGTGTCCTCACAACCAGACTGGAGCTCCTCGGATCAGCTGTTTCTGCTGAGCTCAACAGGTTCAGCTGGATGCAGGAACACTACACACCTGAACACCTGAACAACAAACACACAGCTCTAAATTCAACCAAAACAAACAAAACACAAACATTTAAACAACAAGGAACAAACACAAAACAAACAAATTACTGCAAAAACATCTGGAAACCAAACAAACTCACAAACACGCAGAAAACCTGTCTTTTATCAGATGCATGAGAAAAATACGTTTTATTTCCTGATTGGTCAGAACTCATCACATGTCAGGAAGTGTGTACGTGTCACTTCCTGTTCAAACTGAACATGAAGTGTTGAGCTGCAGGTCATTTATCTGCTTCCTGAGGACGACACACATCTGTCAGCAGTTTATCTCTGCAGCCCGTGCAGGCAGCAGCAGCGGCGGCGGCGGCGGCAGCGGTGGGCCTCCAGCAGCCCCTCAGAGGTGCTGCTGCTCGGTGGTCTGCAAAGCTCTGAGTTCTGTAATTAACGGAGCTAAGTTTACACGCTCCTCCAACCAGAACCACTCCAGACGCTTCACCATCGTGTCAGCAGATATTTGGAGGCCAGCAGAAGCTGAGCAGGTCAGAATGTTTAGAACCGGGCCTTAAGGCCACGTGCACGTGTACGTGCACAAACCAGCAGGACTGATGACAGCAGGGGGGGTGGGGGGGTGGGGGTGGGGGTCCCAGTCACATACACACAGCAGCTGTTCCAATAATCTGCTTCAATCCAGAGATTACAGCCTGATGTTGTGTTTGTCACCTGCAGATATGTCAGGTCCTCCTGAGTGCTTTGATCTGAGTCTCCATGAGGTCAAAGGTCAACCTGCCTGACTTCTCTTTGATCTGTCTCAAACAGGAAGTGATCATGTTACATTTCTTTTTCTATAGTTTTATTTACTTCAACTGCAGTTCACATCCAACCGACCATCCAACCATCCATCCAACCATCCATCCAACCAACTGACCACCCTTCCAACCATCCAACCAATCAACCAACCAACCAAACAACCAACCAACATCCAACCATCCAACCAATCAACCAACCAACCATCCAACCATCCATCCAACCATCCAACCATCCATCCAACCAAACATCCAACCATCCAACCAACCATCCAGCCAACCATCCAACCATTTAACTGACCAACCATCCAACCAACCATCCAACCAACCAACCAATCAACCCCCAACCAACCATCCAACCATCCAACCAACCATCCATCCAACCAACCATCCAACCAACCACCCAACTGACTGACCATCCCACCAACAAAAGGACTGACCATCCAACCAGCCATCCAACCAACCAACTGTCCAACCTACCATCCAACCATCCAAACATTTAACCAACCATCCAACCATTTAACCAACCATCCAACCAAGCAATCGTCCAACCGACTATCCAACCAACCATCCAACAATTTAACCAACCATACAACCAACCAACTGTCCAACCAGCCATCCAACCAACCAACCAACCAACCAACCAACCAGCCATCCAACCATCCAAACTTTTAACCAACCATCCAACCATTTAACCAACCATCCAACCAACCATCCAACTGACCATCCAACCAACCATCCAACCATTTAACCAACCACCCAACCAACCATACTACCATCTGAAACATCCAACAACCAACCCACTGGCCAACCAACCGACTGACCATCCAACCATCCATCAACCAACCAACCAACTGACTGACCATCCAAACATCCAACTGACTACACTCAATCAACCGACCGACCAGTCAACTGACCTGTGAACATCCAACCAAATGACCAAATATTCCACCAAACAAACCAGATAACTTTAACAAACTTTGTGAATCTAAATCTTTAAAAATTGGATTCAATAAACCAGGTTCTTCAGTTTTCCTCCCAGAGAAACAGAAACATGTTTTGTTTCCTTCTAACAGATTAAAAAATAATATTAGCAAAACAAGTTCTGCTGTTTTCCAACCCAAACTGTTTCCCTGCAGTTTCAATCAGACCCGAAACCCAGAACCTGAGTAAAACCCAATAAATCAGAACCCCTGGAGCCCGAAGAACACGCTGGACTGATGAAATCCTGATTTTGATCTGAATAATTAACGGCAGCTGAGTGAAGCCTGCGGTTCAGAGGAACCCGGCTGCAGGCAGTTTGTTGGACGGAGAGGAGTTTATCTGATGGTAACGCTCATTATTACCACTCAGCTGAGAGTCAGTGAACGCAGCAGCAGCAACAAAAAGCAGGGAGGTGACACAGAAACACAAACAGTGCAGATTTAACTCACGATGAGACCAGAAACAAAGAGAACTTCTTCTGTTCTGATTCGTTTACATTCTGATGAGGTGGCCCACCCCCATACCCCGCTCTGAAGACTCATTAAACAGAACCAGGACACTAATGGGATTATTTGTGATAAACACAAAAAATACAAGTGTTCGTCTAAAGTGAATCAACCATGTCAGTAAAAACACAGAAGTGCCTTTAATTCAATTTGTTATTTTTCTGTTTCTGTCAAGAGCTCCATTTCAGACAGCAGGATTAGTGGAAATCCTGAGTTAGTTCTGGGTTTTAGGTTTCAGAAAGCCAGATAGCTGTTATCCTGAGTCAACTTACCTCCACAACCCTGCTCTGTAGCAGGATTACTGGAACAAATCCTGAGTTTGTCTCACTTTTTATCTGAGAGCCGCACCAGGACAGAGTCAGACAGAGGGCCATTTTCTAAAGGAGCCTGTAGATGTTGGAGCCTTGATGCTCTAATCTAACATTAATCCACATCAGGACAGAGTGATAAGACTGTGATGAACATTTGAGACATTTCGAAGACTTCTGGTGAACATTTTGAGACTTCTTAGAGACTTCCTAATTAACGTTTTGAGACATTTTAGAGACTTTCTGGTGAACATTTTGAGACTTTTTAGAGACATTCTGGTGAATATTTTTGAGACTTTTTAGAGATGTTCTGGTGAACATTTTGAGACTTTTTAGAGACTTTCTGGTGAACATTTTGAGACTTTTTAGAGACATTCTGGTGAATATTTTTGAGACTTTTTAGAGACTTCCTAATTAACGTTTTGAGACTTTTTGAAGACTTTTGCTGAATGTTTAGAGATGTTTTAGAGACTTCCTGGTGAACATTTAGATACTTTTTAGAGACTTCCTTGTGAACAGTTTGAGACTTTTTTAGAGCCTTCCTGGTGAACATTTGGAGACTTCTTAGAGACTTCCTGGTGAACATTTAGAGACATTTTGGAGACTTCCTGTTGAAAATTTTGAGAATTTTTTGAGGCTTCCTGGTGAGCATTTTGAGACTTCTAATAGACTGCCTGGTGAACAATTTGAGACTTTTTAGAGACTTTCTGGTTAACATTTTAAGACTTTTTGGAGACTTTTTGGTGAATGTTTTGAGATGTTTTAGAGACTTCCTGCTGAATGTTTTGAGATGTTTTGGAGACCTCCTGGTTGTTGGCATGCTGTCATAAACGGCTGAGGTTCAAACAGATTCTGGATTTTGTTTTTCACACCAAACGTCAGTTTTTGCTCGAGGAAGGATCTGCGTTAAACATTTATCTAGAGCAGAATTTCTTCATCTCAAACTAAAAAAGCGTTAAAACAGTTGTTGTGGTTCTTTACTTGACAGGAAGAGGTGACATCATGCCACCAGGTTGACCTTTGACCTTCATGTTTTAAAATATTCATATATCTGAATGTTGGCTGTTTTTGTTGTGTTTAAACATAAAAAAGAACTAAATCAACTCACCTCTCTGTCACGTTGCTGCTGCAGCTCGTGTCGACTGTAAATCAGACATCAGTGAGGTAAAAACGCAGCGTTTCCAGGCCGACAGGTAATTACACCTGTCTCTGTCTGAACGTCATGTCGTGTCAGAGCGAGCTCTTTAAGACAGCGTGACGGGAGGAAGAGGAGGAGGAGGAGGCGAGGAAGAGCAGACAAGTTGACAGCAGAGTAAATAAACACCACACGTCTGTCCTCCTCCCAGAAACAAACTCTGTTCTCTGATGACCTTTCAGGTTTGTTACTCAGAAGACAATTCAGCAGGGAGCATTTTACACATTTCAAAGTTTAATCGTCTTCAGTTTGAAGTGTTTTCTTCTAAACTGACACCTTTGTGTTGTTTGAAGTCTTCCATCATCGTCCCCTGGAGGCAGACATGAAACACGTCAGCTGCAGATGGTAGAAAGCAGGAAGAAGGACCTGCTGCTATCATCTGAACGCTCCAAAAGCACAATCCTTTTCATCACCTGACGAAAACGCTCTCATCTCTGGAGCCAAGACAGCTGTGATATTTCTCATGACTCATCTCCGCAGACCTGAAGGTTTGACTTCTCTAAAAGTGTCAGAAGATGTTTACAGTTTGTCTGTCACAGTGTGAGTTTGATTTTTTTCAGGGCTGCTCGGAGGATTTTCAGCCCAATACGTGAGTTTAACATCCTGACCTGCAGCAGAGTCAGGCTTGGTTCTGTGTGGAGTTAAGATTCAAATAATAATTCAGTTTCACAATAAGATCAGTTCTTCTGGACAAATAAGGAAGTTTTAGCTCAACATTTGTAAAATGAACTAAAATGTTGCCAGTTTTGTGTTTTATGAGGTTGATTGGCCGTGGCAGCGATCTTTAAACGGAATAATTCAAAAGTTTATGTTTATTATTTTAAAGTTTAATTAAAATTCATTCAATGTTCATTAGATATTTTGCTAACAGACAGAAGACAGAAACATTATTACCTGCCCTTCAACAGAAGTGTTTTTGGGGTTTGAGTCATATAAAGTGAAGATGTGGACATAGTTTTGTTGCCTTCAGGGGCTTTTATTATTTCTGTAAAACCTGATCCTGTTAATCATGAGTCTGATTATTTTTTATTTTCTGTTGATTTTAGAGCTACAGTGTTCCTGAAGGAAAGAAAAAAAAAAACATCATCAATGTTGCAAAGGAGGAGGAGGAGGTTCATCTCTTCAGACGTGTGAAGCAGCTGCCACCTAGTGTCACATCTGGAGATTAAACTTGATGATGAAGCTCAGACAATGTTTCATGACTTTAGATATTTAATTTTTACCTGCAGTTTTTTGTTGTTGTTACTATTTTCAGCTACATCAGCAGTTCCCACTCAAACTGTACTTTCACTGAAAATGTAGCTTCTCCAAATGTCAAACACCTCCTCTTTCATTTAAAAAGAAACCCGACTCAAAGCGTTCCCTCCCTGTGGAGCTTCTCCTGATACGCAGAGAGAATCCTGGATGCTTCGGGGAAATCTGCTTATATTACAATGAGGTGGGGCTGATCCAGCTCCTGACAGCTGGATGGCTGCTGGCACGGCCTGCTGAACAGAAGTCGGTGGGCATCATGAATCTCAACGAAGGGTGGACTCTGACAGATTTCGGGCTCGCCTTGGCTTTTAGGCAGAGGGGAGGGGTCAAAGGTTACGGCTGTAAGAAGCAGCAGTGACGGGAGACGGTCACGGCCCAGTGCTCGCTGTGCAGCACGCTGAGAATCTGACTCAGGGAACTCATCTCTCCAGTCAGCTCACTCATCTCAGGATGCAAAATTAGATCCATCGTTGCTTCATGAGAGGCGTCTGACAGCAAACCTGTCAGTTTCCCTGCAGCTCTGCAGCATGTAAAAAACTACATGTAGAGTTGGTCCTCAGACTGTCAGGCTGTCATGACTTAAACATGATGGAAAAACCCTGGAGATCCAATGAGAACTGAAGTGGAAATTGTCATGAATATTCAGAGAAAAAACACAAACAGTATTCATACTCATAAGTATTTATTTAATTTATTTATGTTTCCAGTTCGCATAATAAAAAAAAACATATTTAGCTAAAAATCAATCAAGTAAAATCAGCTGTAGTGGGAAATCTGCAACTGTTTCTGATCAAACTACAAATCCCAGAAGCCTTTTGTGCGCGGCGCATGCGCAGTTGGCCCATAACGACATGACGCAGGGATGTTTTCAGTAGCAACCGAGCCATTGAAGGTTAAAAAGTCCCTCTAAAAGGTAAGAAATGTTTTAAAAATGGGCTGAAAACCTCGCGTATGTTTAGTTTAGTTAAACATGCAGTCATGTATGTTAAAAACATCATGTTTGAGCAGAATTAAAACATCCCGGTGAGTCCGTTAGCCGCTGCTAGCTTAGCGCTAAGAGAAAATTCACAAACAGTTTAACGTGAACACTGACCGTAAATGACAAGTTTAACCATTTGATGTTATTTTATGCTCTCTGTCAAACATAATGTTTCCTCTGAAGGAATCAGAAAAGTTTGAAACCAATAAAATAAGTATATTTTCTTTTTTAATTAATTAACATCGTTAGCATCATTATCAAACACAATGTTCTGAAACTATTATAAACTCAGTTTAACAGCTTTTAAAGTATTATTATTATTTTAATAATAAATTATTTTTGAGCTCACGATATTTTCTATTTTTGTTGTAATATTTTGTCTCCTTTACTGCTGCCCTCTTCCTCACCTGTCTGATGTTTTACAATAGAGTAAAATAGAATAGAATAGAATATAGTAGAATGTAATAAAATAGAATATAGTTGAGGAGAATAGAATAGAATTTATTGTCCCCTGGGGGGAAATTAGTTTTGTTTTGTGAATAAAAACACAACAACACACAAGAATAAAACTAAGGATAACCTAGTTGTTAGGAGAGTTGTCCTGTAACCGGAGGGTTGCTGGTTCAATCCCCTGTTCCATCTGTTCTTCACCTGTCTGTCACACTCCTCTTCCTCACCATGTGGTCTGGTTTCAGACAGAAGCATGTCCTGTGTTCTGGATGAGACGGCTGCAGATGTTCCAGTCAGAGACACGAACATCAACCTGTCCAGACTCACTGCCGCTCCACAAGGTGTGCTGCTACCTGTACCACAGGTGTTCCACCTGTCTGTTAAACCTGAGTCCTGCTTCAGTCAGCACACCTGTATAATCTGAAAGCTTTGATCAAATATAAAGTTTAATCAGTCCTGTCACTGGTTTTAAACGTCTCCAACAGGTTGACTTTCCTCCGAAATGTTTTTAAATCTGGTGTGAAGTCTGCAGAGATGTCTCCAGGTGTCGGCGTATTCACCTGGACAGGTGTTTCTGTCTGCAGACTCTTCTGTCTATCAGGATGTTCGCACAGACGTTCAGGACATCTCCAAGGTGTCCAGGGAGGAGCTGGAGGACCGGTTCCTTCGTCTCCACGAGGAGACGCTGCAGCTCAAACAGCACGTCCACAAACAGGACGACAAGATCAGGAAGTGAGACACACACACACACACACACACACACACACACACACACACACACACACACACACACACACACACACACAC